CCCCCCCGTTTCAGGTTACACAAACCTTATAGTACCCAGAGCCATCAACTAAGCTACAGTATCATGACCGAAGACCACTTGTTTCCTCAGAAGCCATTAGAATGTTTAACAAATTTGAGGCCTGCGATAGTAAATGTAAGCCATGATGATTTTTGTTCACATTGTACATGGTACTCCAGCAAGATACTGGTTACATATCATGAATCTTAAAATTTTTTCCAAGCTTTAAGCACTCCGTCCCAAGGTCCTTACCACATACCATGGCTGTTGACATTTTGGATCTGTTTGAGGGTTTTAAAAGATTTGATCCCCATTACATTTAAATTTGGTCATGGCCATTTCTGATTACACAATTTGGTAATACTCCATGTCAGCAAGCCAAACACTCACAACTCTTGGTTCTTCATACCTTGTTTGTGTATTTTAATGAACATTGTATACGATCCATGTGACATTGAATATAAAGCTCAAATACCAACAAGCTATAGAAGGCATTGATCACGATTCTGACTTTTGGTTTTTCAAAAAAGCTAAAGGTATTAACAGATTTGATCCCTGTGAACTTGATCATTTCTAAATCTTTCCCCATTTTTTGTAGCATTCATTTCCACCAAGCTACTGACCATAGGTCTCTTAGTTTTTCAGAAACATATTTAACAAAACTGACCCACGACTTTGAATTTAAGTAAAGGTAATTTATTTCCGCAAACTATGCAACACGCTATGCCAACATGTAACAGGCCAAATATCAAGAGTGTAGGCCATCTGGCTTTTGAAAATTTAAATCTTACAAAACACCTAATTGCCGTTTATAAGCAGATGTTTCTATTGGCAAACTTTTGGAATACATTTACTACAGAAATTACACAAACCATCTGTATGCTAAATCATGCTAGATACCAGAAATTTCATCCCTTTTTAACCATTCTGGTTTGCAATTCTGAACTGTCATCACTTATAGATTCATCCTACCGAAAGTGGTTGTAATTGGCCCTTTTTGAGAAGAGCTTCACAGAGAACTTTACAGCAGATGGCCGAAGGAAATGGATCCGGATTGCCACAGCCTACTTGGCCCGAGTAAGGTAAGCTGAAAGCTTGTGAATTTTTCATGTCATGGTAATGTTTGAACTATACAATTCTGTTTGTAGATTAGTAGACTTTGCTGGTTTTGACAAAGTAGATATATAAAATTATTGGATTCTGTTTGGAGGAAGCAGTTGACCTCAAGAAAATGACATTTATGTTTGGTAGTGCTCTACTCCATCGCACAACTTTATTCACCAACACAGTCAATGTAGCAGACTCAAGAATACAAAAACAAGTTTGATCATGGTAATACAGTTTATTGTATGACTGAATAAAAAAGGAAATCATGTCGTTACTGATACAATGTGAAAATGATGCGTACAAAATATTCTACACAATTCTTAACCAAGAGCAAATAAAACAGGCAGCAACACAACAACCACTGAATCTGTGACCCATTAACACGACTGTGTTCCGCTTCCAATGATTACCTCCCCTTAGTCCAATACCGAAGCCTAAGTTCCATTTGGTTTGACAAATTTGGTTTGACAATCAAAACGCTACTCCAATGGAGTTCAAGCTCAGATGCACTCTTGATTAATGTCTGCAGGCTCTTAGAACCATTAAAAAAAAAAGGATCCATTTCTTTGTTCTAGTCACATTATACTTGGTTCCAAGACAATTTTGTCTCCATGGCGACTGTGTCCATGAACTTTCACGCCTGGCAATGTGGGAGTGTTAACGTAAATAAAAGATGCTGATGTCCCGACCTCGTTATTCCAAGTCAGGAAGATCTGAAACACAAACACAGAGGGTTGACTCTTCAAATCAGAGATTTGGTTACAAAATTAACCTCAAAGTGTTTTTGATAACTTCTCTATCCAAATGTTAGCTCTTAAATGAAAGTGTGGTTAATATTGCTTTTTTCTTTCTTTTACCGATGGTAAATTGTCGATCTTTTCATGCATCGGGCATTGGGAGAAGTTGTCTCCTGAACAAGTTTCTTGGGCTCACTGAACCGTACACCAAAATAGGGTATACATAACAAAATTAAATACAGAGAAATATACACTTATTATATTACAATGGAGTATAGTATATTATATTACAATGGAGTATAGTGTATTATATTACAATGGAGTATATTTACTATCATCATCACTGTCTTCACTGGGACTGTCCTCCTCTTTGCCGTCCTGTAAAACAAACACAGGGTCATGAAGACATTAAGTTGCATTCACAAGATCCTAGAGAGGATAGTATGTTCAAATGTTGTGAGATGGGACGCTGCTATTCAATTATCCTAGACAACTACCGTATTGACTAAATCAAGTGTTACCGTATATAATCCGCCAGTCACAAATTTTCATTAGACAAGGGGTCTATTCGTTTTATATGCCGACAACCGGTTTGTCTGTTTTTAAATGTAACAATTTCAGGTATAAATCCTGGCGGATCTGCACATTTTTATGCAAGCCTAACAAGGCTTTGTCAAGGCTCACCTGAAAGCAGCATCAGATTACCGGGTCTGACCTTATTTAACAAACAACTGTGGTCCAAACGGTTCAAACGTTTAAACAAAAACGGCCAAGGTCACAAGGGCCTGATGTCGGTGCAGCATCTGTCAACTTACCATGCCTCCCATGCCGCCCATGCCACCCATTCCACCCATTCCTCCCATGTTTTGCATCATCTACAAAAGAAAAAGACAATCATACTAGAGACAGAATTTATCAACAATTAACAGTAAGACCTATGTATTTTTACATAAGTACAAGAATTCACACCATTCATTATTGTAGTGAATTCAAGAAACATCAAGAGATACATATTGAACCCCCATCACACATTATTTAAACTTTTCAGCCTCATTTAAACAAGCCCCGATTCCTCCTACCCCCGAAGGTTTGTTTTTTAAGGGGAGACATATTGGGTTTACTTGTCAATTCCTAAACAATCAAGTTGAACAACTCCTTATTCTTAGTATTATAAAAATGTAAATTCATTTTCCTACTATTAAAGCCTGAAGTTAATCCAACTAAAATTAGCTCATATATTTTTTTTATAGTCAGTTATTTTGGGGACACATTTTACTTTATTTTTTTATACCAATTAAGAATGAAGAAGACCATTTCGGTTATAAAATGCTTTGACAATTTGTATTTAAAACTGGGTTATTACCAAATCCAGTCTATACAGGCAGAAAAATCAAACAAACTCCCCTCCATACATACACATTATCAATAAAAGTATCACCCCCTTATTGGCCTAGTTGTATTGATGGTGTAGAAAGGAAGGGAAAGGAAAGGAAATCAGAAGATAATTAGAAGATCAGTTCATGTGATTTCTGAAATCTTGATTATCCTACCTGGTCCAAGTCCATAGGTGATTCTTCTTCATAGTCTGAATCATCTTCATCCTTCCACTTGTCAAAGTCTGTCTTTAACCAATGTACCTGTGAAGATTATATTAAATATGCCATACTGTTTTATATTGATTTATATTTTATTCGCAAAAATAAAATGGGATAAAAAAGGAAAGTTAAAAACTTGAGATTTGTCTTCTCCCTTGACCTAAGGAGACAGGGTGCTGGTAATTGAGAGAAGGACCTCCTTTATTACATTTATTTGCAGTTTACTGTCAAAAACATAAAGGGGTAACTTCGTCAGCTTGCCAACATCAATATTTATTGACAAAATTACCTCAATCCTTGGAAGTTAACCACTGTCTCCAAGCCTGGGGTTTAACACTTGTTGAGAAATCTTCATATTTTTCCCGAAATATACAAATCTTTATTATTCATCAAGCAGCTGCAAATTGGACTGAATTGGACAGGTGTATGCGGCAGTCACTAGCCATTAATCAATGAGGACTGCCAACAGCCTGATTGGGGTGACTTTAAAATCAATAGTTCATTTTATACACTTATGATATTTTTCTTGCCTTTACCGGCACTATTTTAACTGCTCAGTTATTAGAGATAACTCTTGTCAAAATGGCAGAACACTGCATCCAGGGTATTTTACCTTTTGTGATTTTTTTAACAATCGTGGCCAGAATTCTCCTTCGTCTTTCTTTTTTATCACACATGGTACATTCCTTTCTAACACAGTGTACTTGCATTCCTGTTACAGAAAATCAAACATTGGAAAAAATTTCACAACTACCACATTTATACATAATATCTTGTAATCTTTTCATAGAAAATAATGTGCCCCCCCCCCCCCGTGTCATTTACTGGATGGCATAGGTGACATGCAGATACTAAACTATAATGATTATGAAAATCTTAGAATTAATGCCTTCATGATGCAATAAGGTCATATACTGGACCACATATATTAGAAAATGGCAGTATCCCGAGAGCGAAACGGATATTTTGCGGAAACGACAAAAATGGGAACAGAAAATGCATTCAATATTTTACAGTTGGGTACTATGTTAACATGTCAGTAGAAACAGGTTGAAAAATATGCCTCAATGAAATGTTTTTGTGACCATAAAATGTGAAGAAACGGCTATGTAATTGTACATCTAAGCTTGAAGAAAGACTCGCCACAATGAAGAAGTGAGACATGCTTTGAAAGTAGGAAAGGCAATGGGACCTGATGAATTGTGCATAGAGCCAATAGAAGCGCAGGAAGTGTGTGGAACATGATCTACCGCACAGGGCATTTCCCAAAAGATCTGATTACACCAAAGCTTTTGTGACACCATCACCCACGAAAATCTCATCTATATACTAAAGCACTTAACACTGATGGAAGGGACCTACGTGTCATCAAGAACCTGTACTGGGGGCAAACAGCAGTCATACGATGCAACGATGAACTTGAAAATTTTGTCAATATCAAAAGAGGAGAGAGACAAAGCTGTGTGCTTTTACCTGAATTGTGCTCACTCTACAGCGAATGCATCATGTGGGAAATGGAAGATCTTGTAGAGCTCACTATTGGAGGTGACACTACTTACAACCTCCAATAGGCTAAGGGCACTGCCCTTATTACAACATCATCAATAAGAAGAGTGAGGCAGTGGAACTAGGGCTGAACACCAAGAAAATGGTCATCACGATCATCTTTACGAAACAATCGCAACACAAAAGCTCATAGACTCTGTATTACAGCAAGTGCAACCAATGAAATAAAGACCAGAAAAGCCCAGGCTACGACAGCATTCACAGACCTTAGTACCATCTTGAGAAATACGCACATCTCAATCAAGACCTGCAAGAGTGTGCTGGAGGCTACAAAATAGCCTGTACTACGAAACAATGGTGAGTGATCATGGACCATCAGCAATGCTGCTGTGAATATCATCAATGCAGCAGAAATGGGGTTTCTAGGCAAAATGTAAAGAACATCTTACAACCACAGAGTTACCAATGGAGAAGTGCTAAGAAGAGCAGAGACCAGACGAAAGATGTTGGTTAAATAACAGAGCCAAGCCAAGTCTTTGGACATATCTTAAGCAGACAGAATGGACAATGTCATTACCACACGGAAGATCCATGGAAATAAGAGCAGAGGAAGACAGCATGGTAAACATCTTGAAAGCTTAGAGACGTGGTTGCAAAAAGAAATAATACAGATATATACAGAAATAATACATAACGTAAAAGACAGAAAAAAGTACAGAAAATGAAAAAGAAGAAACTGTTATTTCACAATCTATAGCTATTTTAGTATATTATACTTACACTGGGTACAACATCACTATAAAAATCTAATTTTACTTCATAATCTTTTTTTTCTGGTCCACCTTTTCCCCTGAAATATATAAAAAAAAAAATGATGAACATGGTCCAAAGTTGTCACTTTTATTATTTTAGGTAAAACCAACGTGATATATATAAATGGACTCTTCTGCTAGTTGATATTTTCATAATTTGTCAGGCACAATAATTATGGTTTTGGTTGATTGTCAACACTTACTTGAAGTGAAAGGAGTTCTCTTTGATATCAAATGTTGCGTCTTTGCTGTCTTCCAAGTTGATTGTGAGCAAGATTTTGTCCTTTCTTTGGGCCCAAATCACTGAAGCATGGAGTGGGGTGGCACTGCAACATACAAAATTTCATTAAACTTAATTCATTTTACAACGATTGCGAAACAAGTTGTTTCAACTTAAATCACTCTTGATAGCTGCCCTGATGGTAGTGCGCACAGGGGTTTTATATGGGAGGAAAGGAAACCAGAATACCTGGAGAAAATACACGTTGGGAATGTGACCGCATACCAGTTCAAGTCCGATCAGGGAATTGAACTCTGGCCATCTTCGTGAAAGGGAATGGGCTACCCATGGCCACTACACAACCAGACTACCACTCTAACATATGAAACCAGAAATTTAAGCCAAATGCTAGCTTACAGCCCTGCTATACCATGAAAATGGAAAAAATGGGACATAAGCTGTAATGACCATGGGTGCAAAATTTCATAAAAGTCAGTTCAAGCCATTATTGGCTTTGTCCACTTCCAAGATCTAAGGAAGGCATGTCACCAATGTCTTCTAAACAAAACATTACAAAAGATGAAATTAAAATCAAATGGACACAACGTAACAGAGCTGTTGACAAGCATTAATGCATCATCCGATCAGAAATGAACACAGCCATCTTGATTCCAAAAAATACCCTTGAAAGCCAGTTGTTTAAACAGGAAGTATATGTACATCGCTCCCACAATTAACCTTCATAGGTAAGCTGATTTCTTCAAATTTATGCATTTACTTCGGTTCTTTTTTAACTTTAAATGGGGAACTTGGAAAAATCACACAATTGGGAACAGGTCCTTTAAACAGACCTATAAGTACCCTAATCAATAGTAATCATACTCGTGAAGATTTTAGGAACTTAGGCTACTGTTTGAACTTGTACTTTGCTTGCTTTTTGTCTCCTGAATGTTGCCGATTTACATTTTAATATCCTTCAGCAATATATATTTTGTCTTAGCAAAAGAGTACCAAGACATCCCAGTATCAGGTACTATCGGGTAACAAGACAGGCTGGAACGAGTAACCGAGTATCCGGACGCACTTCGGTTATGAGTATTATCCAGTTAGCAAATCTACGTACCTAAAAACCTTACAAAAATGTAGGTTTGACAGACAAGGCAAACATTGTACACAATCAATGAATGTAAACATAATATCGACATTTATTTCAGTTAAATTAAGTTATCATATTTTTATGAAAATGAGCCATTGGCGGCTGTATTTCTCATGGTACAAAAAACATGGTCATCCGGGTTAGGTAATCTGATAAGCCTTATCAGATTACCTAACCGGCCGGATGACCATGTTTTTTGTAAAATTAAGCACACACTGTTATCTGACTAGCATAAGTGAAAGCAAAAGTAATCTAGACGATTGACAAAATTTCTAGGAAAAAGAAACCAAAACTGCCAGTTTTTTAATAAAAAGGGTTAGTAACTACAGTTCTGTTTAAGGGCCTACACAATGGCCTCTGCTTCGCAATAACGATCATAATTATCACGAAATGAAGAAAGATTAATGATCAATTAACACTGAATTAAATAATATACTATCATTTTACCCATTTATAAATGTGCCGTTGTTCTATGACAGGCCTTCGTTGTTACATATCAACCTTACATTGGATATGTTTGGTATATGTTTGTGCCTTGATTGATACTTTGTCGAAACTTTTGCCGATAGTTCGAACTCACGCTTATATTTTGAAGCATAATTTCGTATAATTCGAACAGGTTCATCAATATTTATTTAATTTTGTTCGAACTGACCGAAGGTTTACCGTATATTACAAAAAAGCTGGTTAACAATCCTTGTATCGTGATATAATATTGGATTCCCAAAACATTGCACAATACAGATATACCGGTAATTGGTGACAGCCCAATATGATACGCTACATATCACGATACAAATATCAACTTTATAATGTCATAAACTTTGAAAGTAAATACTATTGAAATACCTTTTGTATGATTCATAGTACTTTTGGGTATGACTGCACCGTCAATCACATCTTTACTGAAGAATTCCAAAATAATAAGTACTTTTTTTTGAAAGTTTATTAAAAAATTGATTGATAATTTTAGTGCCGACTGTTATACTTAGTAAGGACAAACAAAACAATTTGATATGATACAAAAGAAAGTATCATGTTACGATGTGATATGATATATTCTGTAGCCCATCCCAACAACAAATCAATATCACTTTGGACAAACAACCAAACCAACAACCAGTCACTTTGGACAAAGAAGTCTTGTCAGGGGTTTTAAAGCATCTAGTAGCCTTCGGGCTGTATGCAATCCTCGTTTAAAGAAATAAAGAATTATAACAGGGGTTTTAAATTGATATTGCAAATTGATCTTCAAAGTAACTCTTTGTTTTTATACAAGACAGCGAAGCACATTCAAACATAACATGCAAATTAATCTCGCAAATGCATGACAATCTTGAATCTTGTGAAGTTGATTGAATTCCCAACCTGTAGTGTAACATTTTGAGAATAAAGATTATGAGTATACTTTGCCCCACAAGGACCTGAGAATTTGTTACAGCTTTATTTGGACCTAAACAATGACTGCAAAAAACTTTGAAACTCTGAAATGTCGTGTGTTTTGGAGGTAAGACGGATCATGTCCATGGAAGGAAAACACATTTTACGTGCATATAGGAGGTTTTTAAAAGAAAAACTTGCCATCTTTCCAATGGCACTTAGCATTTTCCTGTACATCAACTAGACATGTTGTTTTTGATGCAAGAAAGTTAGGCAGGGTCGACTTTTCGACATCAAGAGCTTTATATTATCATTATTGGGGTGGGGGTGGAGGAGGGGGCGAGAGAGATAGAAAGAGGTTGTTTCGTCCTGAAACCCATTTGCCCTAGGTTGTTTCGCCCTAAATATTTTTTTATACGCTAATATAATAATAAATATTTAAAGATATCAAATAAAGTTATTGATAACTTTCTACATTGGTGTTAGGTATATTTCACGTAGAACAATACGCAACTGCATGAGTGTGGAGTCAGCTTTTCCCAGCTGCCGTTTGTCACACTCCCTTAAAAACAACACAAATTAATTTTGTTATAAAATTGATTTTAATGATATAGAAGATGACGAAGAATTAATTTGTGACTTAAAAATACTAAAATTGAAAGAAAAGTTTTAGGGACGAAACAACCTAGCATGAACAGGATTTCGGTTGAAACAACGGTGGTGGGGGGTGGGGGTGGTATTTTTACCAAAAGTCAATACCCTAAAAACATTTAAAATTACTCTGAATGCTCACTTAGTTTAGGTCCAAATATAGCTGTACCGCTGTAACAAATTTCTAGGTCCCTGTGCTTTGCCCCATGTCCAAAATTAATTTTGGGGGCACGAGGACACTTTTTGCTTTGCTTTTGCTTTTTTAAATTGAGTTCAAGTCAATTTCTTACAACATTAGGCTAATGAAGTCGAACCATCAAAGTTTATTATCTTCATGAAAATTTTGTAAGATACATCGGTCTCGTTTCGACATGTTGAAAGGCGAAATCCTATCAATTGCAGTTTGCACATGCATTTCTTATCGTATACATCTAGGCCGTTTTCGTTTAAACGGTCAAACCGGTCGGACCACTGTTATTCGTTTATTAAATAAGGTCGGGCCTAGTAATCTGATGCTGCTTTTCAGGCGAGCCTTGACAAAGCCTTGCAAGGCTTGCATAAACATTTGATGGTCCGCCAGGATTTATACCCGAAAATGCTACATTTAAAAACGGTCAAACCGGTTGTCCCGCATAAACGAACAGGCCCCTACTGTTCCCATGTTTGCGCTTATGTAGACATGTGAGTGATTTACATAACAACCAAACAAAGACATTGTAACCGACATAAAGCACGTGCAACATCGTAAAGTCTCAAAAAATGCCTTCCAGAACATTCGCCGAAACAAACCGAAACTACTTTGTCGTATGAAAATGCACACGATTTTAAATGACAAAACATGAAAGAAAATAATGATTTTGACTTTGCAGACATATTTCACATTGACAATAATGATTAATTGATTCATAAGGTGAATATTCAAAACAGCGATTTCAGCATACCCACCTCGTGTCAGCCATTTTGTTGGATTTTGACGCCATGTGAGCCGGAAGTGGTTGCTTGTAGACAACGAAATCTTTCTTACAAATGAAACGAAACGAACTATGAGGGACGTCTTCCAAAATAAGAGATAGATTAAACAATTTGTTTCTGAAGAAGCACTGGTAGTTAACGGTATTTTAAAAACTTAATGATGTTTTGTTTCCCTAAATCACTCACGAGTCAGTCATATCTGTGACTCCTTGGAGGTGATACCGTTAACTGAAAGGAGCCACATGTGGAACAGGAAATATTTATCATGTTTTTGCATTCCATTTGTTTTTACCTAAGGGTTTGTGATGATTTTCGGTTTCGATTTTCGATTTAAAGAAATATGGATCAAATTTAATTCTAGCTTTTGAGTTATTAAATCAGACGGCGAATATGGTTATATTTTACCATTTTTTGGTATTAGACCCTGCGTCTTTGGATCACATATTCATAAAAAAAAACTTTACTTCTGACAGTATAAATTACAACAAATACTATTCTTTAATCTAAAAAATATATACTGCGTGAATGCTTGGAAAAAAATTAAACACACAACTTTCAGCTTCAACTGAATCAGGGATGTGTAGTGGACACATCCCTGACTGAATTTATCCTTTCATACACGGAAATAAAGTAATTCGACAAGTATTAAACACTTTTTTTAAAACAAAACATATTCATGTCAGTACCCAATATTTAGATAATTCATTAAAACTTTCTGAAGAAATAAAAAGAAAGAATATCGATATTGCTTCTAAAAGAAATTTAAGCTCAAATTGACACAGTTGGTAGAATAGTTAATTAGTATCATCCTGAACTCGTAAAAATGATAAATGTGGTTGTATTTAACCATTAAAATCTATACATGTACATATGGTCAAATGTTTAATTGTACAGAAGATGAAATACATTTTTGATTATTGTGATCATTGTTTTATGCTACGACCCCTAAAATTCCACTCAGACAAATGCAAAATAATACGGTTTGGGAAAGAAGAAAAGTTCAAATAATCTGCATTTAAACCAAGATGTTGATGGTCTGAGAACAACAGACTAGAAACGGTAACTGTGGAAATTGAAAGCAAACCGAATACTTTGAGCCATCAGAATAACATATACAGACTTGCATAATAAATGAATCTGCCTACTGTATAACAGCTTTAGTTCGACCCCATCTAGAGTATGGAACATGCGTATGGAAACCATACAAACAACACACGGGATATTTTGTCTTTTCGTATTGCAAAGTTATCGTCATTTGTTTGTGAGAGTAACGTCATATTTTTTTGAGAAAACGACGAAATTTCTCACACAATCTAATGACGTAAAAATCAATACCTGCTTACAAGAGCAGATAACTCTGCAATACGAAAAAACGTAATTGGACTACTAGAAGTGTCCGACATAGATGTGTCAAACGGAGAGCTACTTTACGGTCACGAATGAATGATTTTTCACACCAAAAAGATTGCGTCGTCTTAAACTCCCGTCGTTATTATATAGACGTAATAGGGGAGGCATGATAGAAGTGTTCAAAATCTTGAGGGGAGTCTATGATACAACAGCATCACATGGACTTTTTTAACAATACTGATAATTCATAGAACCTTCATTTGTTTCTGAATTAGTGACATATATAAGTGTCCGTGTTCAACTCTGGGGCAAGTATATTTATCACATTTTTTCGTGGTGCTTCTCACTCGTACATAAGCAAACCATATAATAAATCCACACAAAAAATATGCATTTAATATCATAATCACAAATGATAATAATAATAAAAAAATCCAAACGTAGTTCGAACTCAGCATCAATAAACTAGTGCAAAAATACTGATTCGTATGTAATTCCGATTGAGTGTAATATAAGTGATCATGATGCATGTATTGCATTTTTGTCTATACCTGTTAATCTCTCTTGTACCTACACTCGAGAAATTTGGCCCTATAAATATGCCGATTTTAATAGGTTATTTTTTTTTAATAGATACTTTTGAGTGGCCTACATTTTTTCAAAACTTTATTTCTGTTAATGTAGCATGTGTTGAATTTACTGAACAATTTTTGAAACTTGCTAAAGAATGTATACCTAAAAAACAGTTTATATAAGACCTCGTGATAAATTATGGATGAATTCCCAATTAAGAAAAGCTTTTCAGTTACGAGACCGGTTACATAACGCCGTTAAACGTGTTAAGTCCATATCCAACTTAGAGAAATTTAAAAGACAAAGAAATAAGGTTAATAATATGAAAAAATATGCAAGAGAAATGTTTTATAATAGTGTTGGTGATATTATAGATAATCTTAATACCAGTAATCCTAAGTCATATTGGAGACTAGTGCGTAAATTATTAAAACAGTCGGGTTCTCAGGAGGTTATTCCACCTCTAGTTAATCCTTGCAATGGAAATATTGAATATGATGATGATAAGAAAGCAAATATTCTAAATAATTATTTTAGCTCTATCTCAAACATAGATGATATTGGCAAATCTTTACCCAGTTTTGATTCCAGAACTGATTCTGTACTTGATTCTATTGTGGTTGAAAGTGATGAAATATGTGATATTTTGAAAATTCTGAAATTAGGAAAAGCATCTGGTCATGATACT